GTAATAGATGCAAGATTTTTAGTAATCAAAACAAATGAAAAATAATATAATTAGTAATTAATTAATTAATAGATTTTTTTGTTTTTTGCCATATAAAGTTTGTTTCTAAAAAATAAAGTTGACCTTATTTTGTGGTGGGACCAATGTGAATAAATAAATAAACTGGAATGTTATACAAATACCAAACCAAACAACATATATAATTATATTTTTAATAATGAACCAATAGTTTTTCTGAGCCATATAAAGTTTTTTTTTCCCCCCTAAGAAATAATGTTAACCTTATTCTGTGGTGGGACCAGTACAAATAATAAACTGAACCGTTATATAAATAGATAATAATATCTAGCTGGTTAAAAACAGTAAAAAGTCCACAACAAAAATAAAAAAAAACTCAAAAGTAATAGATATAACAATATTTTATTCATTAATAAATCGATTTTTTTTTCTATTTATTTCTAATCCATATAAAATTTGTTTAAAATTTTTTTTTACCTTATTTTCTGGTGATTCAACCAGCCCAGCATGAAAAAAAATGATTGTTGAGCTCTGGCGTATATTAAACAGACAGAGGAGAAGTCTGCTGCTGCTGCTGCTGCTACTACTACTGATACTTTGGTAAATGGGACGTCAAAATCCTAAGAAGTCTGCTGAGTCCTTTGCCTTGTTCTGAACAACTCAAAAGTTCAAACTGAACTCTCAGCGGGCCACAAAGCCAGTAAAATTGAAAGGTGAGTTTGAACTCTGAGCCACTGCTGGGAGAGAAAGGGACAGACGGGGAGCAGTTCTGGAGATGTTATTACACCGCTGAGTGCTTCAGTGACTCGGCTTCAGGCGCGCAGCCGCTGCCACTGTGGGGCCAGCTTGTCTGGATAATGAGCTGCTCGACTGGCTCAACGCTCTCTCGCTCTCTTCTGGTCCGTCCAAACTGAGCTAACGTCAGTAAAACCTAACAAATGCAGAGGGATCACTCACACAGCCATTCAACCAAGGAGGACAGGTCTCGGAAAACTTGACAGCAGTGAAAAACGAATGCTAGAAAGGATTTACACAGGCGATGTCCTCGACAATACAATGCCACTGCCCTAGCAGGGTGAACCTTGAGAATGAAATGCAGTTTGATGGATCCTGTATAGGACCTTAAAAAGTGGAAGAGGCCCGCGCCTGCTCCTCGTGCCCCTTCTGTCTCAGGTCTAACCATGCGGCTGTAAAACTGTCAGCTCTTGTCTGTTTATCTGGCAGAAAACATACCGAAGCCCAGAGCTCAGCAAACACAGCACTTTATTATAGATGCTTCACCTTGAATACCTCCAGGAGAGCTCCGTATCATGGCTGCACTTCCCACAGCTGCCAAAACAACCATATTCACTCCACAGGACTAAGCATCATTTGCATGATAAATGCGTAATCAGCATAATTTGGGATTATGAAGTCTGGCACATTCACCTCGGCTGAGCAGGTGTTGCTGAATATGTGAGGCCCTTCAAACAAAAGGCAAGCATTCTGTTTGACAAAAAAGGTGTCAATAATGAAATAAATTCTACAGTTTTAGAATAATAATAGTTTCAATTATAAACTGAGACATTGTTGTATTTACCAGACAGCACAGGCCCATTTGAAAGCATTTGACCTAATTATACCACTAGTGAGGTTTGCATTATATTTACCAGCTTTTCTGTGTCTGTGCGAGCATGTTTGTCAAATATAAAATTATATGTGGTGCACTACCATTCAAACGTTTGGGGTTGGTACGATTTTTTTAAAATGGTTTTGGAAACCATCTCTTAAACTCAGCAAGGCTGCAACATTAATCACATTCTGCAAAATCAGTAATATTCTGAAAAATGATTACAATTAATACATTATTACAAGATTAAGTACAATTTTATAAAAGATTCTTTAAATGTACTTGTGATAAAAAATTGAAAGTTTTTCTGGGTCACGTGTCGGATGATCCTTTATAAATCCTTCTAATATGCTGATCTGGTGCTCAAAAAACATTTCTTATTATTATCAATGTTTAAAATAGTTGGAAATTTTAAGGAATTGTTTGATGAACACAAAGTTCAAAATAATAGCATGTATTTGAAACGTACTTGTAAAATATTTAAAATGTAATAGTAAATTTTTTTTAAAGGTATTGTATTTTTTAATGTATTTCACTTCTCGTCCTGCAAATCAATTATAAAGATGTAGATCACTAAAATTAAAATTCTGTCATCAATTATTCACACTGATGCCATTCCAAAATGCTCTGCTCATCAAACAAAATGACTGTATTACTTCAGATGGAGTTGTATGGATTACTATTAAACTACCTTTATGTCCTTTTTGGAACTTTTGTTCCAATCAAAAACAATAAAAACAGCGAAAACATTTTTCATGTACAATCATACAAACATGAAATAGCATAGGGGTGAGTACAGGATTACAGAATATTGTTTTTGGGGTGAATAATCCTTTTAATCTGAAAGTTTCTGAAACATTGATGCTGGTTTCTATATGGTCCAAGCTGGTCAAAGCTGACAGACCATTTTAGACCAGCAACAAACTAGCTTTGATGTTCCAAAATAGCTTAAGCTATATTTTCCAGCAGGGCTGTTGTAAAATTAATTCAAAATAAAGTGCATATTTGATCACAACTTCATACGCCATCCCAATAAGCACAGTGTACTGTACTTCCTCTCCCTCTGTCTGCCCTTTTCCTGCTGCGATCCACAGGGCAGACAGGAACGAGACATGAGATCATCACATCCACTCTAACTTGTGCTTCAACCTGGGAGATGAAGAAAGAGCTGACATCTAAACAGACAGTGTGCTGTGAGCAGAATTAAAATAGTTTCTGCCTCTTGTATCTCTAGGAAACATCATGGCCCTCCCTCCTCCCAGCTGTCCCCACTGCAAAACCTAAAATTAAACTTTCAAAGCACATTGCAACTGCTCATCCCAAACTGAAGCAGGCGGAATTTTGTTACACTCAGACACCAGATGACAATACAAATAAAGCAACAATAAGTCCTATGGGTCACTTGCAAAACGTTCCCTGAAATAAACTTGTCCAAATACCTCAAAATGAATTGCTGGAACTGATAAACATGCAAAAACATTTATCTATTTATAATTAAATGATAAGAAACATTATTTTATTATATATCAAAGTACGTTCAAAAGTCATTTTTCGTATAAATAATAGAGTTAAACACCAATACATTTCCGGTTTGGTCTTGATGAATGTTTCCCTCAAACTTTTTAAATGGAATTTTAGTGGGTACATGCAACAAAAAAATAAATAATAAAGTTTGGGAAACACCATTTAAGTCTTTCATGATTAAGCATTGGTTAAAAACAAACAAGGACATGTTTTACTGCTCAAATTGGAAGCATAAATCCTAAAAAACAAATCAAGCACAAATTTTGTTTTCGTTACACATCAAAAAAGAAGA